CACGAGTCAAACTATTGTTTCAATGGAATATATTGACCAAATTGATTTAGGTGCCACCAATACAAGTTGGACAATATAAACTAATAAGCATCCTCGGAGTAATGTTGGAGCTTTTGGCAAGTGGTCTGTGTTAGATTTTGTAATACCCGGGCCAGAAAATTCGGCCTGGAATATTTTTTTTAATTTATAAAAAATATATATAAATAATTAAATCATTATTTAAATTTAATTTTGCAGAATTTTTGAGAAAAATAGAATTAGGGGTGAAATTAAAAATAATTTTGAAAAAACAGGTGAAATTGTGAATTAATGGGGTGTTTTTGAAATAAAATTTAAAAATTGTGGGTAAAATTATATATAAAAAAAAAAAGAAAATATGAGCATGTGGGATGGCCACGTCAGCAGCCATGACGAACTAGAACACACCGCGTGGCGAACATGCTAATATCAGCTCCACGAGGGAGGCCATGTGGGCGATCCACGTGATTGGGCAATCCAATGGTCCATATCGCATCTCAAGCGCACGTACGACCCAGATGCATTTTTTCTTCAAACACGATCAGACGAATGAGATTGATGGGGATGGATGGTCCAGATTCACTCACGCAATCGGTCTAAACAGAAAATGATCGAACAGTTCTCATCACACCACGTCACTCGAATGGGTGGCCGGGATCAGATGGAGAAGAATATTTAAACTCTTATTTATAGGAAATCGAAACCATAGCCGACAGAGGAACGACCAGAGAAGAAGAAGGGCGGCCGAGGAAAGAACCAATAGAGCCACCTTCGATGCCAAAACAAATATTTTTTTTCCTTCCCGCTCAGAATTCAATCACGAATCTCACTATGCCCATATCGAAGCTAAAGGATTGACGAGTGAGCCGAAAACCATGGGTGAAGCTCGGTCGAGCTGCTGCAACCAAAACCCAGAATCCTCTTCGATGACCCCCTTATTGTTTTTCGTTTTGCGTGATTTTTTTACAATTGTATTCTTCGTCCTTCTCTTGTGCAAGTTAGTCGAAGGAGAACCTGGGCCACGAAGGAGGAACGATGGAGCCGCCGTACCTGGAGACCTTCTGCTAGTAGAATTTTGGTTTTTTACCTTTTCTGGTCAACTAATGCCTCCTAACTTGATTTTTCCCAAGTTTACGTGCAAAGCCAGCCAAAACTTATCTAAACTGGAAGAAAACGGATAGACCGATGCGAACTGCTGTCGTGGGCGGCAGAACCAGTGCCGGAGCACGACGTTACCGCCGTGCCGAAATCCTAAAATTTGTTAAAAAGTTTTAAAACGCATATTTTGGCATTTTGGTATATTTTTAGATACGTGACGGGTACTTTAATTTATGCATAAAAAATTCAAAAAATATGAGGACCGCCAGGAGGCGCTGTGAAAAGTACAGTGTTTCGGATATCGATCTGATGTAAGAATCTCTCATCCTTTTTTCTGTTACGATAAATTAAAGCTTATGATCAATAATGTTGTGTTTTGTGAAAATTAAAAAATCCTAAAATTAATTACAAGTCAGTAGAGGAGTTGAAACCGGTCAATGCATATTTGTCCTAATTTTCTGTTCATTTTCTCATATACTGCCTAAAATGCTTATTATTATACTGCGTGCTTTAAATTACTAGTTTTAAATTTTTTTCTAGGTTATTTAGTTTATCTAACTATATTGCCCTCATATGTTCATTTGTTTACAATAAATGTCTTAATCATGGTTTTTGAATTTACGTATGGTCTATTTGTATGACTTGATGTTGATTGTAAATATGAAATATCAGTATGTAATTGGTGACTGGTTGATAATGTAGAACATGTGTATGAAAGGTTTATCGAATACCCTAGAGAATGGTGTACGGACCCGGTGCATAGGAAAACCTTATCATAGATATTACTTCAGTCGAATGGGACTAAGAAGTCTCATACCAAAAAGGGTTGGAAGATATAATTCACCCTCATACTGGACGGAGCATTGAAGCGGTGGGTTGTTTGGCGCCCACTACCCGACGAGGTATGGGAACGGCCGGTTAATTAATAACTTGGATGGCCCACACGTAGGGGACCCATATGGACCCC